GAAGCACGAAGTGGCGAGGGTTCACTGTATAGCACTGATGAAACATAAATATCCTCTAATTCTTTAATATTTCCTCCCCCTACTATTATGGTTTCAGTTCTACCTCATTAACCTTGTTAGACTTGCAAATGGTCATTGGTAAAATTACGATCATTCAATCCATGAACGCTAACATAGGTAGCCCTCCAGAAAAAGTAACAGGAGTAACAGTTTCTTGAGGGTACAGGAGGAGATAGGGGGACGGGGAAGCTGATAGCAATGATGACTGTGTAACCTCACTTATGGGGAGCAAATAACAGGATTGTAGGTGAATGGGTATATTAGATAGTCTAAGATACAGCTATATATATAATCTTCAGCGGGTTTGGGGGGAGTGAGGGGATCAAGAGGAATGGCTACCAAGGAGGTCAAGAAGAAGGAGAATGTTTTGAACCAATTGTGGTAACAACTGTACTGTCCTACTCGATGTGACAACTATGGACTGTTATGATATCTGTAAGCGCTCCCAATGAAATGATTATTAAAAAATTACAGTCTTGGAAACGCACAGGGGCAGTTCAATTCTGTCCTGTAGGATGACTATGGGTCAGTATGGACGTGACGGCAGTGAGTTTGGAGTGTTTTAGAAGACAAAGAGAACCCTGGTAACACTGTTGGATTGCAAACTACAAGGTCAGCAGTTCGAACCCCACTAGCCACTCTGTGAGAACAATGAGGTTAGCTGCTCCAGGAACCATTTACAGCCTAGGAAGCCGTGTACAGGGCCCTACGAATCAGAATTGACTCAGTGAACGAGGACATAAGCCGGAAGACAGACTCTGGGGTGCTGTTGAACTTGTGGTGATGAAGTTCACCTGGAAAAATTAGGGCTTCCCTTTTCTTTGATCCATTTATAGGAGGATGGAAACCAACAATTAGAATCCGGCTTCCTGGGGGCGAGGGGGTGGGTAGGGTCAGGGAGGGAGGAGATAAAGGAGAGCTGATATCAAGGAGTTCAATTCAAGAAGAAAGAAAATGTTTTGAAACGGATTGTGGTAGCAATTGTACAATACTGCTTGATGTAATTGAACTATGGAGTGGTATGATGTCTGAATTAGCTCCTAATAAAATGGTTTGGACAATTAAATGAAATGGACCGTACATTAATTGAAGGAAAAGAAATAGAATAAGCCTTCTAGTCCATTGTGACCTGGCTCTCCTTTCCATCTCAACCACTGACCTGCTTCCACTGTGCCAGATGTCCACGCCTCCTTCCCGGTCCCCAGCAAGACCAGGCACACAGCTCCTTGCTCCCAGCACGCTCCCCACCTCCCTGGGGATTAGCCATCCTTCACTCCCCTCTTTGTCTCCTGCTCACATTGTTCCAGTTTGCTCCCATGCTTATCAGATGACAAGTACCTGAAGTAAAAGCAATGTCCATATTTTTCATCGGGGTATTTTAAACTTAATGTTAAACACTCTTAAAATCAAAGGAGTGTATTTACAATTAAGATTTTTTAAATGTCTTTGCACATTTAAAATTCACTTAATAGGAATTTTTTGAATGCTTGCTTTGGGTCCGGTTTATCTGAGCTGCCCTGGACTTGACAGATGTCTTTGGAGGATTGTGTTTAGATGGATGCTCGTAAGAAAATACAGCTGAAAGGAAACGTCCTTGCCCCTTCTTATTTATAAGCACAGGACCGGATTTGAGTCAATTAGAATGAAGTTATTGGATGCATTGTTCTTATCAACATAATCAGAACTCATGTGGACGATAGAGGAAATAAATCCACCCTATAAAGGATAGACAAGTAAATTGTGACTCTTAGTTTAACCAAATTGTGGTCTTTCTATAGATGACGTAGGTAACAGTGACCAACAATATTTGAGCAATAGTTAGATTCTCTTATTTTCTTCTTAGACCATATATCCAGTCGAGTTGTCAGAAGAATGCCCTTGTCTATGTTTTAAATAACTAGATGGCTCATTAACCAGCCTGGTAGAAAATCCACAGAAAATCATGGGAAACCTGAATAATATGGTGTTGCATTGTGTTGAGAAGCACCTACAAGACCTATAATATAGACTTTAAATGCATGTTTTAAGCCTTACTTTAATGTGTAATTATTTCCCTATGGTAACTGCTGTGCTTTGGGGCCTGCTGTTCAGGGAAGTAATGAGGGAGGGAGTTGTAGAAATTGCACGGTATGGTTGGTGACTTGATACTCTGTCTTTGTTTTCCAATGATGTAGCAAAAAATATGAGTAAGAGCACAATCCTTTAAAATGCCCCGAGACGCTCCTTGGGTTATAATGTTGGAAATGGACATTCATTCATTCTACAGACAGCGACTGTGTCCAGTGTCAAGTCTGCACTACTCTAGGTTCTGGGAGCACGGAGAGGAAAGTGGGGCCTTTGCCCTGCTGCCTTAGAGTTGACGGTCCCCTGGGTAAGACAGACGGTAAAATAGTGACCTACTCTCAGACATACTTGCACATGCTCAGAGCTTGATCAGTATCTCAAGGTGAAAGTTATTACACATAGTATTACATATTTTACAGTAGAACTGAGCTCTTTTAGAATAAATGCACTTCTGCCACACCTACAGAATGCAGGCTCATGACAGTAAACAGGAAAAATATTAACTAAGAAGACAGCTGATAAGCTAAATAAAGAATTTCAGCTTAAAGTATACGGAGAAGCATGATGCCAACTAAGATAATTAATTTTGCTCATAATCATTCCTCTTTTATAGTGTTTAAGTTCTCTTTTGTAATCTACACAAAATTAGATGTCAGACGCTCATTATTTAAAAAGCAACATTATTTTTGTGCCTTTATTCCTCTGAAAATTCCTTAATTGTGGTAGTCAGATTCTCAAAGGTGAGCATCAGCTGCTGATCTCCCCAGTGAGATACAAATGGAGGGTTCTGGGGTCTTCTTTGGTTCCCCTCTGCGAGCGGTACCCTTCCTTCTCTTCATCCGTCCTAAATATGGTGTTTCCATCCAGTCGATTCGACCGTAGTGGCACACCGGACAGCACCCAACTGCCCCCAGCAGATGCCTGGCAGGAGAGGGCATTCGGAATTTGAATGAATCATCAAGTTCCAAATCCATTTGTCAAGATGTGAATGGCAGGTTTTAAATAAATCAGCCCAATTAATGAAGTATAAATAATTTCTCAAAGTCTCATCGTGGCTCAACTTTTTCAGTATCATATTTATGTAACTGAGCTCTCAGATTTTAACGGAAAGTTTTATTCATCGAGGCCATAGGAGGAGCCTTACCTTTTCTGTGGAAAGTTTTCTGCCTGAATGGCATTGGCCATGGCTCTAACAGATTAAAGTTTACAGAGTTTATTGTAATTGTGAGAGATGTGTGTAGGGGTGAAGGTGTGTGTGTGACAAATGACGGAGACTTTTCCTGAATTGCTCACCTGAAAAAAAAAAAATGTCTTTCTACAGGTGATGTGTCACCAATCAGTATGTCTCCCATCAGTCAATCTCAGTTTATTCCACTCGGGGAAATCCTTTGCTTGGCCATCTCAGCAATGAACGCGGCACGGAAACCTGTCACCCAAGAAGCACTGATGGAGCACCTGACGACATGTTTCCCAGGTAACGGAAGCCAAGGTAGCACTTTCCAGATGGTATGCATGCTCTGGTCTCGCTACAGCGTTACATGACCTGCTCCTCCCGTGTTAACTATAATGGTCGGGGGGTGGGGGTGGGGGTGGGGAAGGATTCTTGGCCAGAGTGACCAGACCTGTTCAAAGTGGCACTGACTCAAAGAAATCAGATCAGAACCCATGAAGCATTCTGGGAAAAGTA